TTTTACATAAGATATAAATGCACAACATTAAAAAAATTAATAAATATCACAGAATGACTTCTATCATTCTAATTGACAGATTTTCTTCACTTTTTATCACGCTTTCTGTGGAGAGTTGGAGAAAAACTTGAAAAAATTAAGGTCGATTAATTTTAATTATTTTTAAGTGTAGTCCGCCTTTTGGCGTTAATACGACTGCTTTAGGATCATTTACGTAGGGAATTGGAGTTTTCTCGCAAGTTTCAACTTTATAATTTCGTAGTATCTTTACAAGTCCAACTTTACTCTGATAAACAGCAAAACGTGCTCCTGAAAACAAAAGAACGATCATGATGTAAATTTGATTAAAGTTCTCGGTCAAAAGTACTTTTATTTGAAAAATATGTAACAAATTAAAAATATTTTTTGATTAAACATTTTTTTCTGCGTGGAAGGAAATAAAAAGAGATATTTCAAATTATTTCACTATACCAATGCAATTCCTTGGCCCGTCGCCAAAAGGTAGATAAGCCATCGGGTGCCTGCTTCGCACAGTTTCTTCATCAAATCTTTCTGGATTGAAGACATCTGGCTTTGGATAAATATCCGGATCTCGATGAATCGCGTAAATGGGAATCCATATTTGTTGACTTTTCGGTATACTAACGTTGATACCATTGAAAGTATAACTTGACATAGATTCTCTCCTAAGTAATGTCGCTGGCGGATATTTTCGTAATGTTTCTATATGCATTAAGAATAGTGTTAAATTATGAAAATATTGAAAAACTACAATTAGATTGAAGTTTACTGGCAATGATATCATATTACAATATCGTTGAAAAAAATATAGCATGTATTATTCTTCACACAAACGACATACCTTTGAAAACTTTATCTAAATAATCCATTTTTTTTATATTATCGTATGTTAAGTCTCTACCATGTTTTTTATAGACCTCGTCAATTTCTTCACGTAAATTGTCTTGTATTTTTTTATTTAATGCTAACTCATAGAGCGCATTGCTAATAGTTGTTGACGAAGTTTCAAAGCCAGCAGCGAAAAATACGAACGCTTGGGCAGCTATTAAACTATCTGTCAATTCTAAAATGTAATTTATTTATTACCATTTAATTTTTTATTAGATTATATAATCTAAATAGTTGGATGAGTGATTTTCAACAACTCACACACGTAATAAATTCATTATTTTCAAAGTTATATTATGTCAAAATTCGGCAATAAAGAACAAATTGTTGTTATAAAAGCATTAAAAGTTTACTTTATTGTGATTTATAAAATTATTTAAAACTATAAAGTATGCAAACTGGTATGGTATTTCTATGTAAAAGATAGTCTTATGACAGATAAAAGTAATATATAAATATATAGATACATACCAATATCGCCCAATTTATCTGGATGTTTCTTTAAATCGCGCAACGTATCAACGAAATCGTGTCTAGTGATATTATTCGTTTCTCTGTAGTCCATGGTTTCTACGATAACGCGCGTGAAGAATTTGGTGACTTCTGTTTGCGGTAGGACGTACGCGGATAATTCGTAAAGCCGCGGAAACATTTGTCTCATTCTGAATCGTAATATACTTTTCCAAGTCGGTTTGAATAATTTTCTTCCCATTTTTCGAAATTCACTGTCTTCGTCCGACAAAGCATTCATCTCGATGCCGAAGGCGCAGCTGCCGATAGTGTCGGTCGTATATTTGGCCGTCAACTCGCGGCATTCTACAGGTTCATCTCTGCTCGTTACTTTTTCCATGTATTGGACAAGGTGGTCAGCGCATTCGGATATTAAGGAGAACATCTCTTTCAGTTTACCGGATGTAAAAACAGGCGACAGTCTCGTTCTCAACGGTCGCCATCTCTTCGGCTCCAAAGCGACAAGATGTTGCGACAGCGGATCGGCCTGTGACAAAGATATAGAATTGTAATAGAGTAAATTTAAAATTAAGAACTACTAACTTACAAAGACTTGTACAATATAAAGCTCTTGGAGATACATCTCATATTTTTAATAACTTTTTATCATGCGAAAATTATAGAAGTATAATATTATGTGAATGTTTAAAAATCATACGCCGTGTATGTATTTATACATATATTCTCTGGATATACTTAAATATAATAGCTAAAAACATTCTCACCTTTTTGAAAGTGGGTATTCCTCTGTTAGCAAATGTGGAGAAATCTTTGATAAGGATATCCTTAA